ATGTTGGAGCAGTACAACGTTTGTATGCAGCTGAACGTAATCCAGTACACATTTTATGATACCACTTTTCACAGTTATTACACTGTATTCCATCATCTACCAAAAAGTAACACTCCGCCCTACTACATTTATGTGGTACTTTTGACATTATGAACTTCTACTGGAAACAGCCAAGACAATTTACCCAATATAGACCATATAAGTGGTTAAAATCAAAACTTAACAGACAAAAGTTGTCAATGGAGTCGAAGATTGAACGATCAATCCTTGGTTGTTTGCTTAAAATCAACTTCCCCAATTTTCGCGGAGGCATCAATACGACAGTCATCGTCTCATCGGTCGCTGTTCAGAAAGAAGAGTGAAACATCGTCAGAAGTAATACAATGATTTATTATTGTAATATTTGTTTTTAGACCTTAGTTCACTTATTCTTTTTATATGTTGGTTTAACAATAAAGAAATATCAAGCGGCAGATCGGTGTTTTGGTTTTTTCGTCCGTTATAACTAAGCGTTTCTGAAATCTTCGAAGAACAGCGTGGGCCCGAGCGTAGCGAGAGCTGGGCATTAACGGTTTATGAGACGTGATTGACAAAAGTCAAGTTAAAGATTTTTAGATGTTCTTGAACTGAATAGCACAACAAAAGAGCGATTTGTCAAAAACGTGAAATACGTGAAAAAAGCACTGCGTTTCACTCCTTTACACTACAATTCTGATCCCTCAATTTACCTAGTTTAGGAAAACCATTTTGGCGTTTTGATTTGCGGCTGATCTAAGCTGAACAAGTATTCTAAGATAAGAAATTGCGTTTATAAACATATCACTATGTGTAAACATCAACATTCCTTGAGGCTAATGAAACTCACAAGTCTGTAGGGGACTAATATTAGAGTTCACTAACATTCCAAATATAAAAGTAATAATCCAAGTCAGTGGAGTGTTAAATCACAATATATTACCAAAAATACAGTGACGAGTTATAGCAACAAAAAGGATTACTTGGATATAAAGTCTAAGTCCTCGGCTACAAATTAATTATATAATCCACGGGCACGTTAATTGTTTGGACTGCGTCTGCTGTAGCTGCTGTGTTCCGGTTGTAGAAATGTCTTCGGTTGAGAGTAGTAGGCTCCTACAATAAATCCGAAGTATACAACACGGTGTGAGTGGAGCAAGTAAGCAGAAGTGACCAGGGAGAAGACGAAGTCTCCAACAGCAGAGTGTATTTTTCAATTGTACACGGAAGTTATGTATATTTCAACAAGAAGCGTTTTAAACAAAAATTATGTACAATATCTCGAATTTATACAAGTAACCAAAAAGTGTACAATCACATTGTTACGTACTTCACACGGCTCCCCCCTAGAGGTCCGGAGAGACAACCGGAAAATGATAAGTAAAACTATGAAGTAAATAATAATAGTAATAGCAACTTTTGGATAAAAATAGGGATATATTACAACATGCATAAACGCGAGAAGGTATGTGAATCATGTAAAGTCTGAAAGCATATACAATGAGTTCAGCAATAAAAATTGAAATAGAAAGTCATGTCACTTAAATTTGCACTAACCATGAACATAGATTTTTAATGTATAAAGAAAAATATGTAAATACACAGTAATTAAGGAGGGGAAAGAAACATTTAAAAAAATATGGATTAAAGATCAATAGTTTTTGGAAAGGACACTACCTGTTTTTTCGGTGAGGTACATATAAATAAATAATAGTGATAGTAACATCAAAGTTTACGACGAAATACTAACGGTCATGATGATAATGTCTAAACGAAAAAGATAATAATAATTTTTAATTATTTTTCTTTTGTTAGTCCTCAAAATGAACGTAGCGAGCCGGTTTACTGATTTGCCGACCACTACGTGTGTGATATGGAGGGAGGATAAGACTTGGTGCCGGTGGAGGGGAATCGGATGTTTGATTATTTGATTGCGCAGCTGCCGATGTAGATTCGAAGTCGTTGTCGGTGTATGCGGGTTTGATTCGATCAATTGAAACAGTCTCTCGTCTTCCATTCTTGTTCACTGTAAAGTGTTTGTCTGAACGTTTAATAACTTGAAAGGGTCCTTCGTATGGAGGTTGCAATCCTTTTCTGATGGCGTCGACTCGAATGAAGACGAATTTGCAAGTTTGTAGATGTTTGTTGATCTGATCTCTTCGGGGAGATTGTCGAGGTGCTGTTGGTTGAAGTTGAAGCATTTGTCTAGTTAATCGGTTAGTGAAGTCGGCAATGTTCACGTCTGTGGAATCGGCTGAGGGGACTAGCTGTCCAGGCAAGGTTAGGTTGGTGCCATAGACAAGTTGAGCCGGTGTACATCCTAAATCTTCTTTGATAGTAGAACGGATACCAAGTAAAATCAAAGGTAAGTATTCACTCCACTTAGATGTATCATTCTGCGCCATCAGGGAGCTTTTCAGTTGTCTGTGGAATCTTTCCACTAGACCATTCGCTGCCGGATGATAGGCTGTTGTGGAGATATGTTTCACTCCCAGAAGTCTCGTCAGTTCGCGAAAGAGTGTCGATTGGAATTGAGGACCGCGGTCGGATGTAATAGTAGTTGGTACACCGTAGTTTGACACCCAACGGTCGAGAAAAACTAAAGCAACGTTTTCAGCAGATATGTCGTTTAAGGGGCATGCAATAGCCCAACGAGTAAATCTATCAATCGCTGTCAGGATATGTGTATATCCCCTTGATGTTGGCAATGGTCCCACGATATCTATATGGATATGCTGAAATCTCCTTTCGGGTAATTCAAACGTCTTCGGGGTTGTAATAGTGTGGCGGTGTACTTTGGAGCATTGGCATTGGATACATTCTCGTGCCCATCTCCGAATGTCAGAGTTCATTTTAGGCCACACGAAGCGTTCGCTGATCAGTCTGACCGTGGCGCGTACTCCAGGGTGAGAAAGCGAATGTAAATGTTCGAACAATGCTTTTCGGCAACTGAGAGGGACAAATGGACGATTAGTGCCGGTAGATACATCGCAGACTATGGTTGCATCTGATAAGGGGATAGGCACATCTTTGAGCTGTAAGGAAGAGTTTCTGCGGCAGGTTTGGAGTTCAACGTCATCTCTTTGTAATTGAGCCATACGATCAAGACTGATGTCTACCGACGTTTGGAGCTGGTTAATGTCACTTCTTGAAAGAGAATCGGCTACCACGTTCGCATCCCCTTTGATGTACTGGATGTCGGTTGAAAATTGGGAGATATAATCCAACTGTCTGGCTTCTCTAGGGGAGTGTTTATCGAGTGAAGTAGTGAAAGCATGACACAGGGGCTTGTGGTCAGTAAAAATAGTGAAATGCCGGCCCTGTAGTAAGTAACTGAAATGCTTCACTGCAAGATATATGGCCAGCAATTCTCTCCCAAAAGTGCTGTATCGTGTCTGAGCCGGTTCCAACTTCTTAGAAAAGAATGCGAGTGGGGTGACTTCGCCCTTCATCTTTTGTTGTAATACTGCCCCTACAGCTACTTGGGAGGCATCTGTGCACAAAATAAGCGACGCTTCGGGGTTGATATGGGATAGCATAGTGACTCTGGATAAGGCATCTTTTGCGTTGCAAAATGATTCGTGTGCTTCAGCTGACCACTGAAACTTTTTAGGATCATTTTTAAGGAGGTCGGTTAACGGCTGGACGATGGAGGCACACGAAGGAATGAAACGCCGATAGAAATTAAACATCCCCAAAAAACGTCTGACCTTCTTGAGTGAATCTGGTTCGGGGAAGTTTTTGATGGACTCTATCTTTTCCTCCGTAGGCGTAATACCATTCGCGGTTATGTGGTGTCCCAGAAACTGTATAGAGGAGACACCGAATATGCACTTTTTGGGGTTAATGACGACTCCATATTGCTCAAATCGTTGAAATAAGATGGTGAGGTGATCAGTATGTTCTTCGGGCGACGAGCTAGCAATTAAAACGTCATCGATATATACAAATACAAAGTCCAAACCTTGTGTGACCTGATCCATGAAACGTTGGAAGGATTGTGCTGCGTTCTTTAGGCCAAATGGCATGCGGAGAAATTCAAACAAACCGAAAGGTGTGATGATGGCCGTTTTTTCGATATCCTCTTGGGCAACTGGTATTTGGTGATAGGCCCTGACCAAGTCTACTTTAGAAAAAATGGTTTTTCCGTGTAATGTCAGGGAGAAATCATGAAGATGAGGAATAGGATAACGGTCGGGAACTGTGGCATTGTTTAAATGTCGGTAATCCCCACATGGCCTCCAATCATGATCAGCTTTAGGCACCATGTGTAAGGGCGAAGACCAAGGACCAGCAGACGCAGTCCAAACAATTAACGTGCCCGTGGATTATATAATTAATTTGTAGGGGACTAATATTAGAGTTCACTAACATTCCAAATATAAAAGTAATAATCCAAGTCAGTGGAGTGTTAAATCACAATATATTACCAAAAATACAGTGACGAGTTATAGCAACAAAAAGGATTACTTGGATATAAAGTCTAAGTCCTCGGCTACAAATTAATTATATAATCCGCGGGCACGTTAATTGTTTGGACTGCGTCTGCTGTAGCTGCTGTGTTCCGGTTGTAGAAATGTCTTCGGTTGAGAGTAGTAGGCTCCTACAATAAATCCGAAGTATACAACACGGTGTGAGTGGAGCAAGTAAGCAGAAGTGACCAGGGAGAAGACGAAGTCTCCAACAGCAGAGTGTATTTTTCAAATGTACCAGGAAGTTATGTATATTTCAACAAGAAGCGTTTTAAACAAAAATTATGTACAATATCTCGAATTTATACAAGTAACCAAAAAGTGTACAATCACATTGTTACGTACTCCACAAGTCTATGCGAACAATTCACAAAGCTATGGAACTATGTATCTCTAACCGGATGCCAGAATGAGTAATAGTGTTACTCATAGTAAAATATTCCCTTCAAAACTCTCTCCTACCACTGTACAATTATTTAAAATCCCACGTTCACGAAAATCAATTGCATTTATGGCGGTCCCGCCATTTTCATAGCGCCTAGTTTTTGTTACTTGCGTTTTGTTAGGTTGGTTTTTGCTGTCTCCTTCACTCTTCCGGTTTTATTATATAACAACTGGCTATTTTCAATATTCACGTATCTGCACACTTTTCAATACTGCATTACGAAAAGAGTAAAGTCATTTGTGAGTCAGAAGTGGCTTATAAGCTGGGTAGCTTCAAACAATGTATTCAAACATTCTATGGTGAATAAATTCTGAATTTTTCCTGAAATGGTTTGTTTGAGCGCACAGACTAGAGTTTAGTGCTGGTTTTCAGCATAACTGGCATAGTGCTGAATTATAATCCAGCATATTCAGGAGTAGACCAGAACCTACCGGGCTCGCCTAATATTAAGCTGAATATATTGCCACTCTGCGCCAAATTAAGTCTTTCCGTTCTCAACTAAGGCTAGTCAGTGCTGAATACGTGCTGTGAGGGCTGGAGAAACGCTGATTAGCAAACCCAGTAGGTCCTGATCTACTGAATATACCCAAGTGTGCCAAATTAGTGCCAGTTATACTGAATATTTCAGCACTAAAAGCATTAATTCAGCTGTAAATACTATTTTTAAGGTCTTGTCGCACTAACTAAGCGTCCACTGCTCGTTTTGAGAACGACCAGCGTTATTTCAGCACATAGTGAATCCGTTTTAGGCAGATAAAGTATTCATTTAACATATCGAGGCATTATCGACGCATACGTTCGAATTACTTCAGAATTATTAAGTCATTATTGACTTCACATAGTAGGCTTCAAGTCTGTATTTATCCTTTCGTAATAAGGAAATGTGCTCATTTAACCCCTTCTTGAATGAGTTGGTTAAGGGCACCACTTTTACTCAGAGTTTATGACTTGGTTGAAGAACCAGTACTATACGACAGCATAGTTTCTCCTTGACTTTTAAACTCTCCTGCTATATCTCTTGTGATGTTCCGACCTTATGGAAATGAAAATAGTAGGTAAATCAAGTCCATAGTCATTTTGGACATTGTATTGAGACCTCTGCCTGCGATATAAGGGGAAGAGGTTCAAACTGATAAGTCATTCCTCGTATGATGAATTAGTTACACCGAAGAGTCATAGGTGTCTTTCCTTTGAACCCTTCCTGGAATGTTTGAGTTCCTTTATGGGACAAGGGCTGGATGTAGTTTCCTAGTTTTGGTCTCACTAGGAATGTGTATAAGGTGGTATGTGTATAAGGTTTCACTGGTAATCTTTGTAAAGACCATGGGTTTCGCCCATGGGAATTCGAAACTTCAAGCTGCCACCATGCGACACTGTGTCATAGTTCTTAGGTCGCGACTTACTATGACACCTAGGCCCATGTGCGTATGAGCTGATGAGAGGTGTATTCCCGCTGTGTCATATGAGCTGACGCTTGCATGTCCACTGTGCATGGTTGCATACTTCACTGTGTTGATCAGGGAGGGGGTCTATTCTAACAGTTTGTCGAGATTCTGTTGTGGCATAAGCACGTTGTCATAATCTTTGAGCTGTCCCCAAAGTCTTAGGTCATCTGCGTAGAGGAGCCTAGGAGATTCGGTTAGCCCATTCAATTTGTTGATATACAGGATAAATAAGCGAGGGCCTAGCACAGTGTCTGGTGGCACTCCACTATGTTCTGTTGTCCGGGTGGGGAGTTTTGGTCTGACCCCGACTCAGTCTCCCACGTATGAGGAGTTCATTAATGCGGTTTAGAAAGCCTGTTTTGACGATAGACATTTTTGATTCCTTAGTTTCGTGTAATCATTTCATGCTTAGCACAGTATGTGGTTGTAAGTCTGTCTTAATATGTGGGGATACTTTGTGGTGGATTTTTATAGTCAGATTGCACTCATCGTTTTGTCCTGCGGTGGTTCGCACTTCTTAATTGCCAACACGAGTTCGTAAGTGAAAAAATGCACTCATAAATTCTGACTTACGTGTTTTGATTTTTCTTTCTCCAGAACTGTCGCCTATCTCATTCCTTTGGAGCTGTCCTCACCCAGCATTTATCGAATTAAAATTCTGAACTTCCCTGAATTATTTGATTAGAGTTGTCCGGTTGTTATGTACCTACCATGGACAATTTCGTTTGCTGTTCATGCGTGAGAAGAGGAAAATGTACGTCAGTTTTAAGTGTCAAATGTACGTCGCAGCAGCAAATATTTTTTTGTCAAGATAAAGAGGTAAGAGTCACTAACTTACCGTCATATTGCTTAGTGTATACATTACTTCCTGCCTCTGAATTTTCCTCCGTCACAGTGTCACTTTGCAGGTAATTGAAATATCCTACTTAGTGGGATTGGTTTGTTTTTTGATTGTTTTTTGTTTAACCATGCAATTCCACCGTGAGCTTCGTCCTTGGTCGGCGTGTTCTCATGACATTTATTGTCCTGATAGAACACTGCCTTTCTCTCTTTTTTAAGGTTCCCTGTTCTGATTAAATGTCCCGACGAGCTTTGTGCCGGTGAATAAAGTTTCAGGAAGTAAGTTTTTTCGTCATTCTTTTAAATAACTTTAATGTTTTGGTTTAGAGTTAAATGTACAGTATTTAACTCATCGTTGACAGTTAACTAGAAATCCTCTGTAAGAGGGCAGACGCACATCTCTTTTGAGTGGAATGTGTAGACTGAATGAACTTTTTTGTGACGAATTAGATTTCGGGTACTCAAGATGATTAAAAAGTCGGTTTGAATATGGGTATTCATACTCAGGTATCGGGGTTTTCATTAATGAACCGTGAAAGTTGTATACCTACTGCTTTAGTTAGGAGCTTTGGTGAATGTGAGGAGGCATGAAATCACATTTGTATTTCCAGATTTTTCAGGTGACATTTTAAAATGCTTTTTATGCTTAAAGTGACAACTGATGTGACCGGACGCATCAATATCTGCGGTATTTTCTCATACTGTCTTGTCAAGCGCTTAATGTCTTACTTGAGGCCACTCTTCCCATGAATGCTGTTTTTGAGACACGAAATAAAAGAGTCAACACATCTAGTTATTTGTTTAATTTTATTCGTGCTTATAACCATCATAGGTCTCGTCTAACTAACTGGACTTCAAGGAATCTCATGTATTCCATTTCTAGTTGCCACATAAAAACCATTAAGCAGGATGAAGGGAGTGTCGTCTGATGGATATCACGCCTGCGCCAACTGTGACATATAATGGAAAGTGTCAAAAGAGCTTCTCGTATTTGTGTTAAGACTTCATCAGCAATCTGTGTATTAGGGTTGATTGAAAAGACCAGGAAGTTCAGCAAAGATATCTTTTCGGTGATTTCATTCTCAAAAGCTGTACAATCGCATTTATGTAGATCAGTTTACATAGATACAATTATTATTTGTTTAATTCCACATAGTAACGAAGGTGATAATAATTTTCAACTTGATATGAAAGTTTGAAGGTACGAATATAGATTACAAGGGGCTTAGAGACAAGATTGCATAGGCTTAGAAAACAGTTACAACGTAAGCAAAATTAATATTTGATAACTGAAGAAATAATTTCAGGTCAAATAGCTGATAATTATTTTCAACTTGATAAAAATTACAAGAGGCTTAGAGACAGGGATAGAACGAATTACAGGCGTGAACAAAATGAGCAAGGAAACAAATTGAAATCAAAATTTTCAACTTGAAATGTAAGTTAGGTGTGAATATAGGTTACAAGAGGCATAGAAACAAAAAATTACACAGGATTGGAGTATAATTGTAAAACGGTTATTCTAAACGGATTGCAAGTGTGATCAGGAGGAACATGGAAACAAACTTAAAATAACTGATTTTATAACTGAAAAAATAGGATGGATGGATTGAAGGCAAAGAGAGAAAATTACACACACAGATAACAAAAAACTGAAGGATAAGGGAACATACCGAACTAGGTCCATGGTAGTTGTAAAGGCTGAACTATAGTTTCTTTTGAACACATAGCTCCGGCTTTTCGATGCATATGGCAAGAGCTTCCGCAGTACAAAGAAGTCGGAGACACAGTACCTTTGGTAGATTTTTGTTTACTTTGTAAATGACTCTAAATGATGAGTCAGTTGAGATTCTGTGACAGGTATTGACGAGATGTTCAGTTATTGCGCTTCTGATTGAACCAGTGCCTCCTCTTTGCAGCCATGATGGATGATGTTCTTTAACATATTTTGATAAGGCCCGCATAGAACGACCTATGTACCTAGCTCCGCAAGAGCAGGTGAACTGATATATGTACATTAAAGTGGCCATATGTGGAAGTCTGTCTTTCCCATTGCTCCGAAGTAGTGGATGGCTAGAGAATATCACTCTTAGAGCTGCTGCCGGAAAAGTCTTCTTCATGGAATTCGAGATTCTCCTTTTAAGGATATCTGCTGCTAGGTCTCCCCTGAATTCCGGACTGTTATGGACTCGTCGCTAAATTATTGTTATGGAGACAACAAGTTCATACAAGTGAAATGGTCACAGACTAAGCGAGCAAACAGAAAGAGAGACCAACATACATACACACACATAAATATATATATGTGGATACATATCACCTCCCCTTTTGAGAAGATTGATGATTAGTAGGATGTTTACCTGGGGGTTTATCTGGAACCTTTGAGCTTGTTGTTGACGTCTGTCGTTTCGTCTGCCTGTTGGGTTTGCGGCTTCGGCTTCGTCCGGAATTGTCTGACATTTTATGCTTCTTGACTGCATTGCATAGCGAATTTAGTGGGACATCAGCCAGATGCAAACGATCGAACCAATCAAGTCCCAAAAGATTTAAATCACTCTTGGTGACGTAGCGAATTCCTGTGAATTTGGTATTGCGGAAGGACACGGAACATTTGAGTTCACCCATTAGTTTGAGCCGCCCACCACAGGCGCTGAGAGCAGTCTGAGAAGATTTGCGATTGGTGGTCTGCCAATATTATTCCAAATTTTCTCTGAGATAACAGTAATATCAGAGGCGGTATCTAGCTGCAGACGTGCATCATGACCATTCATCTGAAGGTCAAGATATTTCCGCATACATGGAGTTATGACTTGACAGGTTGCGAGTAGACTCAATGATCTTTTTGGAGATTTAGGACCAACCGTTTGTCGAGCTTTTGCTGGATTTTGACATCTGGGTTTGCCTGGCTGACAAAAACCATTTTTATGACCGACGATGTTGCACTTGCTGCAACGATGATTTTTGTACGGACAAGACTTTACAAAGCGCCACAGTGCCAGCATGGTGATGGAGGGGTCTTCTTTGCAGTATTTTGTGAAGTTGGACGAGTATGTGTAGATTTCCTTGGAACATTAGAAGAAGTAGGTAGGTCAGGAGTAGATGATGAGAGATTTTTGCTCTTTCGTAATGCATGAATATCTGAGCTTCTCGAAGGTGTTGATTCGACCAGGTGTGTGTCTTTCTGCAAATTAATCAGCCGTTGATATTCATCAGCTATGTCATATAGAGTTAACTTAGGATTTTGCTCTAGCTGAGTGAGCAGTCGAGTTCGGATATCTGTGAAACGAGGAGATTGAAGACTGCATATGAGAATCAAGGCTTTGAAGTTATCATCTGTTAAGGAACTGAGTCGAAATCTCTCATATTCTCGGTTGACTGTGCCAACGTGAGTAAGAAAATCATCATTTTCATTCATTGTCAGCTTGAGGCAACGATAACGTATGCTGAATAATGAGGAGTGGTCTCCAAAATGTTCACGCAGCAGCTTTATTGTATCATCGAAACACTTGTCACGTGGTTTCTGGGGTAAAATTAGGTTGCAGTACCGTTCATATTCTGCGGGACCCAATCTACGTAACAACACTCGCACCTTCCAGACATCGTCTTGTGAGGCGAGATCAACAGTGAATAAATCCTCATAACGTTGATACCATGTGTCAAAAGTGATATTAGCCTCAGGGTCATAATTGAACTGTGAAATACTGTTCACAATGCCGTCGACAGATGGTAGCATGGTATGATTGGGATTCCTTGAAGGTGAAGCTGGACCAGTCTGTTGGTTGACGAACATTTCCATTAATTTCATTTGTCGTTCAAACAATAATTCCAATTTAGAAGGATCCATCGTAAATTGTTATGTTGCTGCTGCTGAGTGGTTAATAGTAGTTTTCCCCGTCGCCAAATTGTTATGGACTCGTCGCTAAATTATTGTTATGGAGACAACAAGTTCATACAAGTGAAATGGTCACAGACTAAGCGAGCAAACAGAAAGAGAGACCAACATACACACACATAAATATATATATATATATATATATATATATATGTGGATGCATATCACGGACTCTAATCGAGAGTCTTCTTTTGCACTGAATTGGCACTGTATTCTTCTCTTTCTGGTCTTGGTTTCATGTTCTTCTCCACGAAACGCGGTGGGTATCCCATTTTGAACCAGGATGCTTTTGAGAAATAGGAGCTCTTCTTCTAAATAGTCATCGCTACAAATTCTTCTGGTACGGTGGGCTAGCGGGATGATGAGAGCTCTTTTACGACTGATAGGTATCCAACTGTAGAAGTGTGTCAGTTGACCATTCCATGTTGGTTTTCTATGGATAGATATTTTCAGAGTTCCGTAATCTCTTCTTGTTAATTCGACGTCCAGGAATGGCAGTTAATACGCTCCTGTAAGATACAATTTAGATCAGAATCATCTTGACAAACTATAAAAGTGTCATCGAAGTATCGTTTGTACAGCAGCAATTCGTCTATTGTTGATTTTAGGATGCCGTTTTCCAGGCTGGCCATGAAGCAGTCTGCGAAAAGTGGGCCAAGGGGAGAGCCCATAGCAATCCCGTCTTTCTGTCTATAGATGACGTCGTTGAATGTAAATTGTACGCTGAATGTGCACCTTATAATAGCAACTCTTTCAGCTTTGAGGTTGGTATTCCGATACTCAGATTTTTGTCATCCGTATACTTGCAAAGGAAACAGCGTTGCGTTTACATTTCAAACAATGCACCACAGGATATGAAACATAAAATTAGTGTGTAATAGAAGATGTGAACAACAATATAATAGTAACGAAGAAAGGAAAACAAAAACTAGTGGGAGCTATTTGTTAGAGTGCCGGTAGTAAGTTGATCGTGTCATACCTAACGGATTTCTCATCACATGACAGCTGTGCCAGGATAAGGTATTGTGGAGTTTTTGTACTTTGTAGTCTTAGCATATAGCCTCCTATAGCTGCTTCTAGTTCTACCAGATGAAATGCAAGGAGAGAGCTACGTATAGAGAGGATGCTTGGGGTCTGACAATATAGGATTCGCCAGTTTCTTACATGACATTATAT